CTAGTTCACCTGCTGGTTTTTGGTATGTTGGATCGTAGACTGAAGGCAGCTGCTGGTTCCTGGTAGGTTGGGTCGTAGACTGAAGGCAGCTGCTGGTTCACCTGCTGGTTCCTGGTATGTTGGATCGTAGACTGAAGGCAGCTGCTGGTTCACCTGCTGGTTCCTGGTATGTTGGATCGTAGGACTGAAGTCAGCTGCTGGTTCACCAGCTGGTTTCTGGTATGTTGGGTCGTAGACTGAAGGCAGCTGCTGGTTCACCTGCTAGTTCATCTGCTGGTTCACTGGCTGGTTCCTGGTATGTTGGGTCGTAGGTCTGAAAGCAGCTGCTGGTTCACCTGCTAGTTCATCTGCTGGTTCACCGGCTGGTTCACTGGTATGTTGGATCATAGACTGAAGGCAGCAACTGGTTCACCTGCTGGTTCACCTGCTGGTTCACCGGCTGGTTTCTGGTATGTTGGATCGTAGGACTGAAGGCAGCTGCTGGTTCACCTGCTTGTTCACCTGCTGGTTCCTGGTAGGTTGGGTCGTAGACTGAAGGCAGCTGCTGGTTCACCTGCTGGTTCACCTGCTGGTTCCTGGTAGGTTGGGTCGTAGACTGAAGGCAGCAGCTGGTTCACCTGCTGGTTCACCGGCTGGTTCACCTGCTGGTTTCTGGTATGTTGGATCGTTGGACTGAAGTCAGCTGCTGGTTCACCTGCTGATTCACTGGCTGGTTCACCTGCTGGTTCCTGGTATGTTGGGTTGTAGACTGAAGTCAGCTGCTGGTTCACCTGCTGATTCACTGGCTGGTTCACCTGCTGGTTCCTGGTATGTTGGATCGTAGACTGAAGGCAGCTGCTGGTTCACCTGCTGGTTCCTGGTATGTTGGATCGTAGGACTGAAGGCAGCTGCTGGTTCACATGCTGGTTCCTGGTATGTTGGATCGTAGACTGAAGGCAGCTGCTGGTTCACCTGCTGGTTCCTGGTATGTTGGATCGTAGACTGAAGGCAGCTGCTGGTTCACCTGCTGGTTCCTGGTATGTTGGATCGTAGGACTGATGTCAGCTGCTGGTTCACCAGCTGGTTTCTGGTATGTTGGGTCGTAGACTGAAGGCAGCTGCTGGTTCACCTGCTAGTTCATCTGCTGGTTCACTGGCTGGTTCCTGGTATGTTGGGTCGTAGGTCTGAAAGCAGCTGCTGGTTCACCGGCTGGTTCACTGGTATGTTGGATCATAGACTGAAGGCAGCTACTGGTTCACCTGCTAGTTCACCTGCTGGTTCACCGGCTGGTTTCTGGTATGTTGGGTCATAGGACTGAAGGCAGCGGCTGGTTCACCGGCTGGTTCACTTGCTGGTTCCTGGTATGTTGGGTCGTAGGTCTGAAAGCGGCTGCTGGTTCACCGGCTGGTTCACTGGTATGTTGGATCATAGACTGAAGGCAGCTGCTGGTTCACCTGCTGGTTCGCCGGCTGGTTCCTGGTATGTTGGGTCGTAGGTCTGAAAGCGGCTGCTGGTTCACCGGCTGGTTCACTGGTATGTTGGATCATAGACTGAAGGCAGCTGCTGGTTCACTGGCTGGTTCACCTGCTGGTTCCTGGTATGTTGGGTTGTAGACTGAAGTCAGCTGCTAGTTCACCTGCTGGTTTTTGGTATGTTGGATCGTAGGACTGAAGTCAGCTGCTGGTTCACCGGCTGGTTCACTGGTATGTTGGATCATAGACTGAAGGCAGCTGCTGGTTCACTGGCTGGTTCACCTGCTGGTTCCTGGTATGTTGGGTTGTAGACTGAAGTCAGCTGCTAGTTCACCTGCTGGTTCCTGGTATGTTGGATCGTAGGACTGAAGTCAGCTGCTGGTTCACCGGCTGGTTCACTGGTATGTTGGATCATAGACTGAAGGCAGCTGCTGGTTCACTGGCTGGTTCACCTGCTGGTTCCTGGTATGTTGGGTTGTAGACTGAAGTCAGCTGCTAGTTCACCTGCTGGTTTTTGGTATGTTGGATCGTAGGACTGAAGTCAGCTGCTAGTTCACCTGCTGGTTTTTGGTATGTTGGATCGTAGGACTGAAGTCAGCTGCTGGTTCGCCGGCTGGTTTCTGGTATGTTGGATCGTAGGACTGAAGGCAGCTGCTGGTTCACCGGCTGGTTCCTGGTATGTTGGGTTGTAGACTGAAGGCAGCTGCTGGTTCACCGGCTGGTTTCTGGTATGTTGGGTTGTAGACTGAAGGCAGCTGCTGGTTCACCTGCTAGTTCATCTGCTGGTTCACCGGCTGGTTCCTGGTATGTTGGATCGTAGACTGAAGGCAGCTGCTGGTTCACCTGCTGGTTCCTGGTATGTTGGGTTGTAGACTGAAGGCAGCTGCTGGTTCACCTGCTAGTTCATCTGCTGGTTCACCGGCTGGTTCCTGGTGTTGGATCATAGACTGAAGGCAGCTGCTGGTTCACCTGCTGGTTCCTGGTATGTTGGATCGTAGGACTGAAGTCAGCTGCTGGTTCACCAGCTGGTTTCTGGTATGTTGGGTCGTAGACTGAAGGCAGCTGCTGGTTCACCTGCTAGTTCATCTGCTGGTTCACTGGCTGGTTCCTGGTATGTTGGGTCGTAGGTCTGAAAGCAGCTGCTGGTTCACCTGCTGGTTCACTGGTATGTTGGGTCATAGGACTGAAGGCAGCGGCTGGTTCACCGGCTGGTTCACTTGCTGGTTCCTGGTATGTTGGGTCGTGGGTCTGAAAGCAGCTGCTGGTTCACCGGCTGGTTCACTGGCATGTTGGATCATAGACTGAAGGCAGCTGCTGGTTCACCTGCTAGTTCACCTGCTGGTTCACCGGCTGGTTTCTGGTATGTTGGGTCATAGGACTGAAGGCAGCGGCTGGTTCACCGGCTGGTTCACCGGCTGGTTTCTGGTATGTTGGGTCATAGGACTGAAGGCAGCGGCTGGTTCACTTGCTGGTTCCTGGTATGTTGGGTCGTAGGTCTGAAAGCAGCTGCTGGTTCACCGGGTGTTGTTGCTTTTCCTCTGAATGATTGTATAACTGTGATGTTCGTTAGTGACGTTGAGGATTATTGGTGGTGACAGACCTCCTTTTAAACAACAAACATATTTCACATGTTCTCTATTCTTCTTTAACATGATTTATATTTTATTGTCAATGTTATATTTCTGGTCCTGGACCTGCTTTATCTTATCTTATACACTGCTCAAATATATTAAGGGAAAACCTAAATTACACATCAGATCTCGATGAACAAAATAGTTGGAAGTTCAAAAACTTTACTGTACTTTGTAGAATTCGTTGAGTCAATGAAACCAAACTCACCAACTGGACCAGGAGGAACCCAGGACCCAACCCAGGACTCACTGCACCAGGAGGAACCCAGGGCCCAACCCAGGACTCACTGCACCAGGAGGAACCAAGGGCCCAACCCAGGACTCACTGCACCAGGAGGAACCAAGGGCCCAACCCAGGACTCACTCCACCAGGAGGAACCCAGGACCCAACCCAGGACTCACTGCACCAGGAGGAACCCAGGACCCAACCCAGGACTCACTGCACCAGGAGGAACCCAGGCTCCAAGGATATGCCTTCCCAGACCATCACGGACCCACCGCCAAACCATTTATGCTGGATCAGAGTCAAAGTTGGGATTGTTTTGGTGGACATCACCATATGACTAGGATGCTACTTGACGATGACCTTGGTGGCGTGCTAATGAACTGGTCAGCCTTAGCACACTGTGTTGTTGTTAACTACAACCTGCCAGGGGACTGCCGATGTGAATTAGCTTGAAGCTATAATTTGGTACGGTGCATCAAATGGAAACGTTTTTTGTTGTACATCTTTTACTGTATCCCGTCCCTTTTAAACAAATAAAGAAATGCTGATGATGCGGCAGGCAGCTTAAGGTTCACCACGTCGACCACAGATCCCCCTAGAGGACCTCGGACACATGGACGTCATTTTGACTTCACCAAATTTGATTCACAATAGCTTCTGCTTCCTGATTGGACAGATTGAGTTTACCTGACATGATGTTGTACTCTGATGATTAAAAGTTCCCTCAATGTTTCTGAGCAGTGGATTTTCTACTGACTGTTTGTTCTGCACCAAAACACCACAGCAGATCTCTGTATGCATGAACCATAGACTGTATATAAAGGTGTAAACCTACCTGGCAGTAAAGCTGATTCCGATTTCAGCCATTTATTTTATTCACCAAAGTACTTTTTTACTCACATTTGGTGAGTGGCTTGTTTTGGACCCTGAAGTGTGCTTGAGCCAGAGGCTGAGTAGCTGAGCAACCTGCTCAGTGGGTTTTAGTATTTTAAATGTTTGTTTTGTATTCGGAGGGTTATGAAAAGTGGCCAGTAACTAGGTAAATTTACTCAAGCACAAATTAGAGGCCACTTTCTCCTTCTTCTCCATCTCAGAGGGAGATCTTGTAAGTTTTCCTTCACTACATTTATCAGACAACTTCAATTACTTTACAAAGTCAGATTTTTACACATGAAGAGTTTATAAAATCTGATGTTTAACAGTTTATAGTCCAGCTATAGTATCAGACTGACAGGGAGATGAGACAGTTTTCATGTAAAAACATTTGCTGCTTTTCTCTATTTTAATTTATTTATTTATGAGAACCCGGATCTTTGGACTGCTGGTTTTAAAGGCGTCTCTTTGGGATCTGGGTAACTGTGACGGCACTTAACATCCTGCTTTATGGTAATGAGGAGGAGGAAGAACCTGATGTGGAACCGTACGACATGAAGTACTTTTAATGCTTGAAGTACCTTTTCCTGATTATACTTACATGCTTTTACTGAAGTAACATTTTCATTGCAGTACTTTTACTAGTAACAGAGTATTTACACAGTGAGGTATTAGTAGTTTAACCTCTAGGTACAGATCTGAATCCTTCATCCAGAGTTGATTTTGACTTTGGCTAAAACACGGAGTGGTTGGCAGGCTGGAGAATATTAACTGGATTCCCCATGAAGTCACCAGGATGTTCTTATTACACACAGAAACTTCAGTCGCATTGATTTTATTCAGAAAACAAAAGATTTTGGCAAAATAACTTGAGACAGGCAGCACAGAGACACCGCTGTCTGACAGGAAGTACTGAGCTGCTCACACACAGGGTTCAGATTCACAGGTACGCACAGCATCTGGGTACAAAAACTGTAAAAAATTAAAATAAAACAACTTTTTACTAGAGACGAATTCAGAATTTTAGTAAAATAAAAAAAACACTGAGGCAAATGTGTTTAAACAGAGTGAGACTGAGGCATGCTGGGTAACCACACAGACTTACTACAAGACAGGAGGACTCACTCTGAGCGTCGGGGGGGGGGGGGGTATTACTACATTACCCTTCTTCTAACAGGTCATTTTATTTCTACTTCACTCTGCTCCTTATTGTGGCGTTTCCTCTCAATCTGCTCATTAAACTAACGTCTGTGGGACCCACGCTCAGGTCTGGGTTTCAGGTGCAGCTGAGGTTCCTGGTTTGTCCTCCCTCTGCTGCTCACATGTAATCTAAAAACAGCAGCAGCACTGGTTCTACAAGGAGGTCTCTGTGGGTCTGCTGACGTCATACGAGCCAGAAGGTCTTGATTAGTTAAAACCTGGTCTATCTCAGTCCAGGGCTGCGTCCGAAAAGTCTTTTTTGCTCAGGAAGGTTCTGACTGAGTGAAGTGACCTGGAAGTAATTCAGCTGTTTAATTCTCTAAAAGCTGAGGAAAGGAGCCTCAATGCTTCCTTTCATATCTCCTTTAGCATAGGGTACACCGGACCACCCGTTACCAAAGGAAAGGATTGTTGATCGCATTATCAAAGCTGAACGCCAACATATTGATTTTTGTTACTGGACTATGGGTAAAATCGTTTCTGATCACAGAGCTGCGGGCAGCGCTTATATTCACTCAGCACCTCCTCTCGCTCGCTCGCTCTCTCTCTCTCTCGCCCCAGTTACGCTGTCATTCTGTGGGAAACACTGTTTACAGACAATAACTGGGATTCACAGGAGGTTGACGACCCGGTCCTTTATTTGGTGACTGGTACCTACAGGCCTTTTTGCTATCTTGGTTATGAAGCTGATATTCCACCGTGTTGTCCACCTTTAGACGGCCTGCATTACAACAACACGGGGCGCAGAGTCAGAGATGCGCTTTCTGTAGTCCATCTTCAGAACATTGTAGTTTCATCACGTCAGTAACATCCGCTGTCACATATTTACGTTGCCTAGAAATGAGCAGCCGGATTCTCTGAGTCCTTCTGGATTCTCCTTCACATCTTTCCTTGACCTCGTGACGTTTTCCATCGAGGTCGAGGAAAGGTTTAAGATTTTTTGACTTTTCGGACGCAGTCCAGGTCTCCTTTCTGTCAGGTACACTGGGCTCTGAGCCAGCTGAGCTGTTTCTGGAATGTGATTGGCTGAGCGTCTGACATTTGGAATAAGTGGGGATTAAACTTTGTACTGAATAAACACACACAGATCTGTAGAGGACAACAACAACAATTCCTTCCCATCAGCCCCGGGAGCGGCGGTGGAGGGGTCAGCAGCGAGTCTCGTAGATGCCGCTGCGTCCGATGTAACGAACCCATTTAATGACGTCATGATCGCTGTAGTTCAACTTCGGCTCGAACACCTTCAGGTACCGGACCTTAAGACCTGACGGAGCGAATGGCACCTGAGGAGGAGGCGGAGAGGAGGAGTTAGTGAAGCAGCACACCATGTTTATCTGTTTGAAAGAAGAACAGCATCAGTGTTCAGAGACACCTGCTGCTCCTCTTTGGCGCTGCAGGAGGCGCTGTGACACATCTACGGCATCACATCGGCCTACATCCCGTCTACATCATCTACCTCCCGTCTACATCATCTACATCCCATCTACATCATCTACATCATCTACCATCCCGTCTACATCGGCCTACATCCCGCCTACATTGGTCTATATCCTGCCATCGCAGGGTACAGGTTTCTGTTCTGACCTCAAAGTTCATGGAGATCGGAGGTCGAGCCCACTTCTTCTTGTCGTTAGTCGGTAGCAGCTCGATCTCTGCGCTGATCTGAGACTCCTTCATCCCCGCCATGCGCTTTATCCTGCAACACACATCAGCACACGTCAACACATCAGCGCTGGTCGAAAGACTATCTACCGTCTGTTTATTCACTACTTTCTGTTTTAAAGACCAAACGATTCAACGAGTAATCAAGATGATAAAACTCAGACTAATCAGCTTGTAGCCCCGCCCTAAAGCCTCCCCTGCTTCCTGGTCTCTGTTCCTCTAAATGGGACCATAATTTACTAAATGAACATCATGCTGTGTTGAAGAAGACTTGAAACTAGCGACTGAGACCAGAAACTCATCAGGAAAGTGTTTACTGAGGGAATAAATCAGCTGACAAGTAACAACATTTTCTCACAGACATCAATACAATCACACTTCTTTCTGCAGACGCTGGAGTCGCCCCCTGCTGGCTGCAGGAGAGGACGCAGGTTTAAGGCTTCACTTTCAGACCCGGAGGTTCCTGCTTGGTAATACTTGATAGTGTAAGAGGAACCTCTCTGCGCAGGTTCCTCCTAAACTATCTAAGTACAGAGTTGGACTGAACAGTTTGATTAGTAACAGAACTGAAAGTCAAACTGTCAGGACCCGTTATAATGTAACACCCCGACACCGCAGAGCCTCCTGTGGTCTCAGAGTTTCCCGCCTGCTGCAGCTTTCAGAAAGCAGCATGATGAGGTAATGCTGAGGTGTTGTGCTGACGTGGCTGCAGCAGCCGGAGGTGGTGTTCGCGCTGAAGGTGCAGAGCTGCTCTGATCTCTTCGTCAGCACTGACGGGTTTTACTGCTCACCTCAGGTCCAACTATCGATCCGGCTGAACACATCAGCAGCAGCACAGACTACAGCTGTGTCCTACAGCAGAGGTCAGCACGTCATACCTCTAAGTCTCTAACCAATGAGAGATGAAACAGAGACAGTGTTCACTTCCAACCCATTCATTTAAATTAACTGCTAAGCTAAGATAGCGTAACCTAGAGTTGTTTTATTTGTCTTCAAGTAAGAAGAAAGTATAGTTCAATGATGAATATCACGATAAAAAACAAACTATTTTGTCTCCCTATTCATATTTAGCACCAGAGTACAGAAACATTTCACTCAGCCATCATATTTATTTACTGAGCTCCACCTCAGATACCACATTTCTAACTTCAGCGGGGGCTCGGCTGCCCTGTTATCACAGTTTGATTTAAATAGCACCCAGCTGATCTCTCTGCTGTCTGATCGATCAGCTGATATCAGGGATAATAAGGGTCTGTGTTGGTCCTGAAGGAGAACTCTAAATAAAGACCCAGCAGACGGAGATCACTTACTTCCAGACGATGGCGTTCTCGCTCGCTTTGTACTTTGCTTTTCCCTTCATGCAGATGAGCTGAACCCCGCTGGTGTTCAGGGGGTGGGGGATCCGAACCTGGAGGGGGGGTTCAATCAGATCGGTCAGTTTTCGTCAGGGTTTCTCCAAACTACAGCGTCTCTTTCACACTTTCCGAAAGAGCTTATTATTAGGAATAATATATACACAATAATTTATATTAATATGTAGGAAAAAGATGATAAATAGATAAATATACCAAATAAATAACCAAAACAAAAAGATCTCAAAGAAGAGTCACATATAAACATTTTTGTAAAAGAAAATCATTTATCAAATTAGTGGATTTGTATCAATTAAAGTCGGTGGCTGTATTCAGAACCGCCTACTACATACTACTAGCAACTGCAGCATCCAGTATGTACTGTATACTGCAGCATGTACTGCATCCAGTATGCAGTATGAAACTGCTAAATTGGTTTATTTTGCAGTACGTCAGGCCAGGCTAAGCCAGTTTCCGGTTTTCAAAATTGGAACAAAAGGAGGAATTTCTATGTACGAACACTTAAAACTTCTTTTTTCTTTTATCTCATGTAAAGAGAACAAAGCTGCAGCTGATCTGTAGCAGACGTTTGCTTTGATTTATTGGTGCATCAATAAAAATTATATAAAATAAAAAGCAAGTAATGTAACGACACCTGTTAACATTCCACTAACAACTATGATAATAATAAAGCAACAACAGCAACCGTCTCCTTTCAAACTACTTCCGGTCCGTCAGATGTCTCTTGATTTAAGTTAAAACGTTCCAACATTACTCAGAATGTAAAGACAGCGGTGAGAAGAGCTGCGTCAGCTGGCGGCCCGGCACGTTAGCTCGCGGTGCTTCTCGACTCTGAAAACATTCCAGCACATTCGCCAACAATTTTCCTAAAACTGACGATATTTGAAATCTCTGTGCGACAAACAGCGTGTGAAAACTGTAAACCAAGTTGTGTGGCTGTCCTCCACACAACAGACCGGTTTTTGTTACAGTTCTAACGCTTTGCATTATGGGACACAGAACATGAGGTAGACTGGTCCGATGCGTACTGGAGATTTTTCCCGAATCAGTGCGCCTTCCGGGTATTTTTGGCACACTGCAGATTTGGCTTTTGTTTGCATACTGCACTCTGCATTTAGGCCAGATCAGTACGTGCTACTAGCGCAGAAGGCGGTTTGGAACGCAGCCTCAGTTTCAGCTCTCCTCTGGTTTTATGGGTCAGATTTACTTCCTGCTCTGATTTAAATAAAGGTTGTGAAAGTTGAACCTGGACATCATACCTCGATCTTCTGAGCCAGCAGCGACGACTTGAAGTTGGACTTGATGACGACTTTGACCTCCAGCTTGGTGCGACCGACCTCCCGGACCAGAGGGATGACCCTGAACGGCAGGATGATGTCTTTGGTGGTCCGGTACCTGCAGACAGACAGAGCGTCTCACGCTGTGCGCTGCTGTCAGGTGAACCAGGTGTTGTGTGCTGAGTGACCTCTGACCTCATGAGCTCGTAGTCTCCGTCTGGAGGGATGAAGCTGATGCTGCGCTCCGAGTCGAACTTACTGAGGCGAACACACTGGTGGAAGGTGCAGTCGTCGATCGCTATCGACTGTTTACCGCTGAGGAAGAGAGAAAGAGGCGGGTCAGTTCAGAACTCCTACTGGAAAACCACCGATTTAACGGGAATAAACAGAAGTCTAAAATAACTGAAACAGATCTCAAAGACTGAAACCCGGCAGAGACGTTTCTAATCTGAACGTCACCTCATGTGTTCCGTAAACAAAGCGTGAAGAAGAGAGTGCTTCTGGTTCCGGTCCTGGACCGTGGCGGACCCTCCAAAGTTTGGCTCAGCTTCACTAACAAACTGCAGCAGCTGCAGTCAGGAGGTTCGGTGCGAGAGAGGAAGCAGCTCCGACGTGACGAAGTGTTTCCTTCAACACGGCGTGAATCTGAAGGAACGCTTCACCGTGTTCAACGTGTCGCGCTCTCCCAGATCCAGCTAACGCTAACAGCAGCGACGCCTCAGGTACAAAACACAGGTGAGCCGACGTTCAACTTTTATACTGAAGGGAAACCGACGATGGCTACAGATGAGACGAGTCCCAGAGACGCCCCCTCTAGGACAGAGACTCCTTTCACTTTAGAGACATGAAGGGGACGAGGAGCGAGGAGGATCTGTGGCGAAGGAACCAGAACCCAGACTCAATAAAATAAAACGATACCCAGCCCTCCTTAAAACTCCATCCAGGTTTTATTCGAGTCACACGTACGTTCAAAAGCTTGGTGCTGTGAAACAAACTCACGCCAGCAAAACAGGAGCTTTCAGTGAGAAGAGCCGGATCAGCTGACTGAGACAGACAGGAAGTGACCATATAAGGAGCTCAGAGAGCCGCGCAGCCTGCAGGTGATGCAGGTGTGTGAGTGTGAGCGTCCTGTGTGACCTCTGACCTCTTGCCGCCGTCCTCAGAGCTCCCTGCTTTTCCCTGCTTGTCGATGACGATCTTGTCGTTCATCCCAAATTTACACTCAGGCATCCCGCTCAGGTAGCTCTTCATCACCACCCGGCCGGAGACGTGAGCGCTGAGCACCTGACCTGCGCACACACACACACACACACACACACACACACACACGCAGGCTGTTAGGGTGTGCTGTCGCCCTCTGGTGGCTCAGTGCAGCGCTTCTTCCTCTCCAGCTGTTTCTAACACAGCTGCTCCTCACTGACAACAACAATGATGTCATGCTGCATTATGATTGGCTGATGTGATGATGCACTTTACCACCGTGTTACAGCGTCTCTATGGTCTGGTAGTACATGTTAGTACATGTTAGTACACGCTAGTACTCTGACAGCTACCCTGTAGTACACGTTAGTACTTTGACAGCTACCCTGTAGTACACGTTAGTACACGTTAGTACTTTGACAGCTACCCTGTAGTACACGTTAGTACACGTTAGTACTCTGACAGCTACCCTGTAGTACACGTTAGTACACGTTAGTACTTTGACAGCTACCCTGTAGTACACGTTAGTACACGTTAGTACTCTGACAGCTACCCTGTAGTACATGTTAGTACACGTTAGTACTTTGACAGCTACCCTGTAGTACATGTTAGTACTCTGACAGCTACCCTGTAGTACATGTTAGTACACGTTAGTACTTTGACAGCTACCCTGTAGTACATGTTAGTACACGTTAGTACTTTGACAGCTACCCTGTAGTACATGTTAGTACTCTGACAGCTACCCTGTAGTACATGTTAGTACACGTTAGTACTCTGACAGCTACCCTGTAGTACATGTTAGTACTTTGACAGCTACCCTGTAGTACATGTTAGTACTTTGACAGCTACCCTGTAGTACATGTTAGTACTCTGACAGCTACCCTGTAGTACATGTTAGTACACGTTAGTACTCTGACAGCTACCCTGTAGTACATGTTAGTACTTTGACAGCTACCCTGTAGTACATGTTAGTACTTTGACAGCTACCCTGTAGTACATGTTAGTACTTTGACAGCTACCCTGTAGTACATGTTAGTACTCTGACAGCTACCCTGTAGTACATGTTAGTACTTTGACAGCTACCCAGTAGTACATGTTAGTACACGTTAGTACTCTGACAGCTACCCTGTAGTACATGTTAGTACACGTTAGTACTTTGACAGCTACCCTGTAGTACATGTTAGTACTTTGACAGCTACCCTGTAGTACATGTTAGTACTCTGACAGCTACCCTGTAGTACATGTTAGTACTTTGACAGCTACCCTGTAGTACACGTTAGTACTCTGACAGCTACCCTGTAGTACATGTTAGTACTTTGACAGCTACCCTGTAGTACATGTTAGTACTCTGACAGCTACCCTGTAGTACATGTTAGTACTTTGACAGCTACCCTGTAGTACATGTTAGTACTTTGACAGCTACCCTGTAGTACATGTTAGTACTTTGACAGCTACCCTGTAGTACATGTTAGTACTCTGACAGCTACCCTGTAGTACATGTTAGTACTTTGACAGCTACCCTGTAGTACACGTTAGTACTCTGACAGCTACCCTGTAGTACATGTTAGTACTTTGACAGCTACCCTGTAGTACATGTTAGTACTTTGACAGCTACCCTGTAGTACATGTTAGTACTCTGACAGCTACCCTGTAGTACATGTTAGTACTTTGACAGCTACCCTGTAGTACACGTTAGTACTCTGACAGCTACCCTGTAGTACATGTTAGTACACGTTAGTACTTTGACAGCTACCCTGTAGTACATGTTAGTACTCTGACAGCTACCCTGTAGTACATGTTAGTACACGTTAGTACTCTGACAGCTACCCTGTAGTACATGTTAGTACTTTGACAGCTACCCTGTAGTACATGTTAGTACTTTGACAGCTACCCTGTAGTACATGTTAGTACTTTGACAGCTACCCTGTAGTACATGTTAGTACTTTGACAGCTACCCTGTAGTACATGTTAGTACACGTTAGTACTCTGACAGCTACCCTGTAGTACATGTTAGTACACGTTAGTACTTTGACAGCTACCCTGTAGTACATGTTAGTACTTTGACAGCTACCCTGTAGTACATGTTAGTACACGTTAGTACTCTGACAGCTACCCTGTAGTACATGTTAGTACACGTTAGTACTCTGACAGCTACCCTGTAGTACATGTTAGTACACGTTAGTACTCTGACAGCTACCCTGTAGTACACGTTAGTACTCTGACAGCTACCCTGTAGTACATGTTAGTACACGTTAGTACTCTGACAGCTACCCTGTAGTACACGTTAGTACTCTGACAGCAACCCCGTAGTACATGTTAGTACACATTAGTACACGTTGGTACCTTGCGGGGACATGAGCAGGTTGACGCTCTCCAGGACGTCCAGAAAGAGTTCGTTGCGTCTGTACTTGATTCCCTCTCTCCTCCAGCCGATCTGCCCCGTCACCTGACTGGTGATCTGAGACTGCTCCTCTTTGGTCTGGGGGGGGGGGGGGGGGGGGGGGGGGGGGTTAGTGTTAGGAGTACTGGACTGAAGTACAACAACAGTGAAACAGTAAACAGGTAAGACAGGTGGACTCACGTGGTGCTGCAGGACGATGCAGGCGAGCAGGAAGGAAAAAAAACAAAAACAAAAAAAAACAACAGGAAACAGTTCACTCTTCTCATTGGCTGATAAATGTCTGTCTATGCTGTCACTGAACACTTCCTGTTGATCTTTCACATTAAAAGCACATTAACCTTCTGCTCCTACCTGACTCTTGATGCCCTGCTGAGTGATGAAGGTCTTCAGAGCTCCAGTCTCTGAGTTCTGAGGGTAACCAAAGTCCAAGATCTCTGCAGGACACAAAGACGGTTACAACAAACCAACACAAAGACAACAAACAAACATGCATACAAACAACAAACAGACAGCAAACAAACAAACAAAGAGACAAACTGACAACAAAACAAACATAAATACAAACAAACAAACACAAAGAGACAACAATCAAACTGACAACAAACATACACAAAGAGACAACAATCAAACTGACAACAAACAAACAAACACAAAGAGACAACAAACAAACAACCAACAGCCGGACAGATCTGCAGCAGAGACGACTCCTGCCAGCGCCGTATTTTCTTTAGGTTTTGATTTTCTCATCCAACGCTTACAAAAATCAAAACCTAAAAAACAACAGCGCGGCAGAGCGATGACGTCTTCGTGAGGCGGGGACGGGTCACTTCCTGTTTAGGGTTTACAGCGCTTCTTGGCGTCCGTGAGGCAGCTCACCGTCCAGCAGCTCGTAGATCAGGACGAAGTTGTTCTTCACGTTCTCCTCGCTGATCTTGCCGAAGTAGGCGGACATGACGTCGCACATCTTGTAAAGGAACTCGAACACCATGGTGGCGTTGACGTTCTGCTTGGTGACCGCCGCCAGCCAGATGTTGGAGCGTTTGACGTGGAAGAAGCTGGTCCGGGCGATGTTGGTGACCGGCGAGCGGACCTGCTGCCTGGCGTGGATGACGTTAACTCTGAACGCGTCCACCGCATTTCTCCTGGAGAAAGAGACGAGAGGACGTAAAGGTCACTTCCTGTAGCGGGTCAACATGGACGCCTGGAAACGTTCTGCTCGGTTCCTTTAAGGTTCTGCAGCAGAAAGAAGTACTTGTTCTTTACGTTTTATCAGTTTTAATGTTTCAAAACATCCCGCTGAAGGACAGCAGGAGAACGTTGATTCATAGATTAACGACACCATGAGCTCGCCTCGCCGTCTGTGATGTCATTATTCACACCTGGACCACCTCTACTCAAGGTCCACTTACTCGCTTGTTCTGGAGCTTTTAACCAAACACATCGGTACAGGAGTGAAGCCGACGGCGAGCAGCTGAGCGTCACGCGCCATAAACTCTCAAACACGCCGCCTTAATCAAAGAAAGACCCGTCCCTCTGTGCGGCTCCTCGGCAGCCGTGTTGTTAAAGACTGAGGTGACCTCATCACTCTGAGGGGTTTCCTGTTGCCGCAGCAGGGCTCAGCGCCACACTGCTGTTGCCTAGCAACAGGCTCCCTGCATCACAGCAACAGTGAAATGGAGGATGCAGCACAGAGGACCGACTCAGACCGCCTGGAGGGGGGGTGTGTGTTACAAACCTGAACAGCTGATCGATGAAGGGGAAGTCCACCTGCGGCCCTTCTAAGTGACAGGAAGCAGAGTGCGGCGAGCTTCACTGCCGGACCTCCTGATTTAAAAGCTGCAGGGTTCAGATTCATCAGAACACAGAGTCCGGACTCATTTCTGGTTCAGGTCTAAGTGGTTCATTTCAGCTCGACTCATGGACACACGGAGATGAGGTCATTCTTAGCCGGTGTGTTTTAATATTTTTATTTATTTATTTAATTTCACCGTTTTATTGATACTTGATTCTCCATCTTAAGTATCACTTATTGAATTCGCCTCCTTCAGTTCTCTTCGCACTCACAGACCTCTGCTGCAAGCAGCCATTACCAGCACCAGCTCAACTCGCCTCGGTTTGGCCGTCCTCCGTTTTCCATTGCAGATAGCTCCCCTCAGTGTAGCTGGTCGTCGTAGCAACGCCACACACAACAGCCGCCACGTAATGTTCGATGCGACACACACACACACACACACACCAGCGACCCACAAACAGCTGTCTCCTGATTTGAGTTAAAACGTTTCAACATTCCTCAGAATGTAAAGACACATTAGTACAACAAAAAGGCGAGTAGAGCTGGTACCGTGCAGCTTCACCGTCTCTCTCTCCCTGCGTGGCCGCTTCGCTGACTTTCGCCATCAGTAGCAGGCTAGGCTGTATAAAGTTACTGAACTTGAGCAGCATGTTAAGGAGGCGTGTTGACGACGTAGCCTATCAAAATAAAACCAACGTGGTCGTTAACGGATAACATCTGACTGGTGAGTTCACTGTCGCTCTACCTGGTCCGCTCTTGTAAAATCTCCACGGTGTCGCGACTTGTAACGTGATCACCGTGTTTCTCTGTTAAATACTACAGTGTGTCGTCTAACCTGGGCGCCGTGAATGAACCGTGTTTTTCTTCTTACAAGCCAGATCTTTAACAGTTTCGACCAATCACGGTGTCCCCCGTGAGTTTGCGAGCCAGACGGCTGCATGCAGACGCAGAGGGAGGGGCGGGGCTGCGCGGCGAGGGAGAGAGAGGAGCAAACGCTGGCAGGACGTTACGGAAACATATTAATTAACTCAACATCAAACTATCAGTATAAACGGTATTGTCTAATTTCATATCCGTGTACCTCATATACTGCCCAGACCTACTTCCTGCTACATTTTCGATATGATATTGTGCAATGTGATATAGCGATAACGATCTTGGGTCAATATGTTGTGCAATCCTACTCTCTGTCCCTGAACACACCCTCGCCGTCCTCGCTGACCCTGAACACACTTTCTGTCTCAGCTCAGGGGCATCTCAGCGCCGGCCTGCAGGACTCACCCGATGTCATCGCGGTACACCCTGGAGATCAACACCTCCCCCTTGTGGTTGTAGATAAAGAGTCCACCAATCATGGCTGACGCCCGTCAGTCAGAGCTGTGGACAGAGAGGAAGAGTATTATTAGAGAGGATGAAACCTGATCTATGAATATAATCTAATGCAGAATATAGTCTGTGATCTTCTTCTGTGGTGGCAGTTAATGACTCGCTAAATGATGATGTCATGATTTACGACATATGAAGTCACAGTAGATTTAACTTTTTATTCTAAGCAGAAATTAGCAAGACAACATTTTGATTTTTTTTTTTTTAAATGATCAGATAATTTATCATTTCGGTCTTAACATTTCTAATTTCTTACTTTTAAATTAAGGTTTCACTTCTTCTCTCCTGATTTTGACCTTGATGTTTTAATTTGATTATTCCCTGAATGTGTCAGATTATATATATATATATATATATATATATATATATATATATATATATATATATATATATAACAGCATTAAGCTGCTGTGCTAAATTAGCTAATTAAAAACAGGTTCAACATTAGAGCAGCCTGTTAGCTTAGCTGCTGTTATCATCATCCCACAAATCTAATTGAACATAGTAAAAAGAAATACAATCTGTTCCTCTGCAGCGGTGAAAGCTCGCAGATACGTGATATAGCATTCAGAACTCCATTTAAAAATCTGACATTTTAATGTGTTTTCATGTATTTTTACTGCGTTACACAAATAACATATAAAGACACTAACTGTTGGTAAATGTAGGGTGTTCTGGTACTTCCGGCATACAAATAAACGAACATTAAATACGTATTTGTGAAGGATATAGACTTATATACGGTGAATGACACCCACTGGCTGACGATACCGCCCAGTCACGTAACATTTCGACGTCGCTGAAAATAGCGGCATTTATCGATCTAACAGTTAGTTGCTCGGCTGAAAAGTCGCAATAATATTTAACACAAGTGCTGTTAGAATGTGCCGAATTTAAACGAGGTCCCTTCTGACTTATAACAGATATTAAATCACGACCTACACAGAAGGAGCCGGTATTGATGAGCAATCCATCACTGAAAATCAGATTTTTTTAAATGGCTGTTCGTTGACGACGACTAGCTATTAGCAACACCTGCTAACGTTACCGCAGCGGTCGCTCCGCCGCTGCTGCAGTTCAGACAGACGGGCGGGGAGAGAGAGACAGGCGGGCGGTGTTAGCTGTCCGCCAGGTCCTTACCCGCTCCACAGAGATGCTGTTGAGTCTCCGGGCTGCTCACAGAGATCCGCTCCGGCTCTGAAGTCTCTCCATTAGGACGTTTGACCGTGAAACCCGGACTCTCCTGTCTCCTCCGGTCGGAGGCAAGATGTCGGCGGCAGGAGCGGACTGTCAGCTGACCCGGCCGCGTCCACTTCAGAACAAGCCACCTCCTCCACCCGGGCTCCTCCTGCCACACTACCAGGACTCTCACTTCACAGAGATCTTTATATTGACTGCTTTAACACCGGGGAGCTGGTGTGGCTCGCACACTGACGGCGTAGCGGCAGCTGCGCTCCTGAGTCGGACCGCTCAGGGTGACGGAGGCGGCAGGTGTGCGGATTGGGACGCGTCCCTCCCTCCTCCGTGCGTCGGGAGAAAGGAAGCAGCGAGCTGTGCGGATGAATCACGATCACTCGCATCTCTCAGAGCTGCGGCCCCCGGTTCCCCGCAGACTCGATCTCATGGAGGACACCAGGACCCGCAGGCGTGTTCAGACCCGCATGTCTGATGTCCAGGGGCCCGAAAGCTGCAGGCCCCTAAAGGCTGCAGGCCCCTGAAGGCTGCAGGCTCCTGAAGGCTGCAGGCCCCTGAAGGCTGCAGCCCCTGAAGGCTGCAGGCTCCCAGCTCTCACCCTTAATAAAATGTCTCCATCCCGCTCAGAACAAGGTTTACGGTGTTTCTGTCTCACTCCTTTCTGTTTAATGCTTCTACTCCAGCATTTGTCACAACATGTTACATAAAACAACAAGAACTAAAATAACTTGAATTCATCTGCAGATTATTGCCACGATTAATCGTTTGGTCTATAAAATGTCCAGATTCCAAAGCGATGTCGTCAAATCGCCCCTTTTTGTCCAAACAACAGTTAAAAAAGACTCTGAAACCAGCAAATGTTTGACATTTTTACTTCGCAAAAACGACTAAAACTATTAATCATTTATCAAAATAGTTGTCAAAATTATCAAAATACAATTTTCTTTCAATCTATTACTGGACTAATATGAATTGAATTCACAACACACATGCTTTCTATTTTATTTATTTATTTTTAAAAGTTTTATTTTATTTATTATTATTATTTTAACACATTATTTATTTTTGTAATGAACTGTATGAAATGTTCTTTTGTAATTTATTTGTAGCTTTTGCAATATTGTTGTTTGACAAATAAGCTGAATAGAATTAATAGTTGCAGCTTGTTAAAGATTAAAACTCCTGACCTGTTTATGACACACCATTTAACATTTATTCTTTAAAACTTACCACTCGCTATTTAAAAGCTACCAGTACTTATTTATTATTTCTTAGTATCTATTATTTACTAGTATCTTTTATTTAAACACGAGTACCTGTTCATTAGGGTCAGAGCGACAGGTACTAGTATCATTTTGATTCTTACTAGTAACACTTTTTTCTTACTGGTGATTTATTAATGACTTGTTGATAGTAACATTTAATTCTTCCTAATCAATAAGTACTAGAAGCCTTTACAAAGCGAGTGGTAAGTTTAAAGGACTGCATGTTGAAACATCTTCCCAGAACCTGTTTGGCTCGTGTGCGTCCCTGAATGAAAATATTGCTGCACAGTGTGTGAGGAATGCAACAGGAAACTCATTTCTATGAAAAGAAATGATATTTTTCTCTCTGCTCATGTGGATCGTGTGGACGTAATCAAAAAGGTTAAATCTGCATCAGAATGATCCGGATCTGGAAATCCCATGTTTTGCTATCCAGGATCAAGTCACCCGTCTTTCTTTTCTGGTTTTTCACTGGATTGGATCACCCTGATCCAGATACAAACTTTCAGATTCAGACTACTTCTGAACAGCTGAGTCCAGGACAGGTTCGTACAGGAAAGTCCCGGGAACCAAAACCTAAAATAACTTAAATTTACACAATCCAATCTTTAAAAACTGGCCAAAACCTGCACAAACAAACACACTTTTATCTGACAGAAACACTAGACTGTCGCTTCTGTCGCATTCGTTTGAAAATATGGAGACATTCAACACAAAAAGTGAGTGAGACACTTTTTAATCGTGTGTTTGAAGACGGAGAACAGAGGCAGAACCAAAGTGAATAAAAACAATAATAAACTGAGCAGCAAATATCTCACATGTTTTGATATTCAGTGTTAAATGTGTGCACAAGGATTTAACTTCAGGTGTTAATCAGAAGAAGAGAACGATTAGATAAACAGTGAGGTCCTGACCAGAATCCTGGGCAAAACTGGGCAAACTGGTCTGTTTCTGAAGTAAACGAATAATGTGTTTCCTCCTCAGTGACGGAGTCCAGACGTCCTTCTCCCGAACTCCTCAATCGAGGCAATCCCAGGCCAGATGGGATGGCCGCGGGGTCTGCTCGCAGGTGGACGAGCCTGGAATACCTAAAGGGAGGCACCCTGACCAGAACCACCTCAGCCTTTCAACAGGAAGGAGCAGCAGGTCTGAGCTCCTCACCCCGCCATGCTGAGTCTTCTTCAATCCACATCCTCCTCCTTTCAGTTTCTGTCGCAGACTCGGAGGTGCTGATCCCGCGCAAACACGACCGGCTCAAAGGGCAGAGAACGGAGACACTGAAAGTTCACTTCATTTAACTTGACTTATTTACGAAAACATACGTTAAACTGCAAAAGAGACGAGATGTTGATGACAGTGAAGTCAGTGGTGTAAGAGAGCGGGTCTCTCCAAGAGGACTGAGGTGGACGGCCCCGCCTACCAGTTACCCAATCAGGCCAGAGTCACAGGGTCACATCCTGGTGAAGCCAGAGCCGAAATCACAACCGGCGTGCAGCGCGTTCAGTCCCGACAAAACGTTCAGACAGAAACATGAGCCCTGAACAGCCTGGCCCTTCTTCGCCTTCTTCTCAAAGAACTTTTGGAGCCTGATGAAATCGTTTAAGTGTTTAAAACACAGACGCCCCAGGAATATTGATCGATATTCACTGTTTTTGTCAATAGTTCAAAGTTTTGAAAGCTTTCTGTGGTTGTTTGGACAGAAACTCCCAATAAAAGTCTTCATTTCAACCATCAATATTGCCAAAATATGGACATTCGCCTGGTATATTTTTAAAGAATTACAGTTGTATTCCAGGTGTATTAGAAGATATTCAGTTGCATTATAATCTGTCTGATGATGGTTTTGATGGTTTATTGCAGCTTTTTTTACCAGGCGAGGATGAAAATATCTTTTTTTCTTTATTGCATCTCCATTTAGTCTGTAATGGTAAAATAAATATGTATATATTTACAATGGATTCACATTCTCCAGCTTCTGACCTTTCAAAGGAATTATGCATCTAGGCCGAATGGTCGAGGAATTATTCCTGATGCATTTTGGGTTTGTTAGTTTTTCCTGGAAATAGCTGGAGGTTTCCAACAGCTTAATAAAAGCAAATACGCTCGATCTTACAGTCACTCAGTGGATTTTGAGGTCTAGAATAGCAGAGAAGTAGGGGCGGGGTTGTATACAGGTCGCTGCTGATTGGTTAACACGTCTGACACCCACGAAAACGAGAGAAAAGCCCGTTTAACACTGTAAGGAAACACGGCGTTTAAACCCAGAAACCTCAGCACAGCAGACCACGCTGTCTTCAGACTGAACAAACCCGAGGTTGCACCACACAACACCCAGTGAGAACACGCTGGACCTCCTGCCAAGAACACGAACACAACTCTTGCTCAGGTATCCCAGGACTGGTTGGATTGTAGCAGCAGCCCAGCTCAGGTTTGGGGGTTCCTGAAAGTGTTGCTTCTGTCGCCCAAAATAATATCCCCACTCAAGGCGGGCAGTTCTCTTCCCCTGCTGGATTTGGCTTTGCCAGAACCTCTTTGTGTCCACGGCCTCCCCAAAACCCTCCCACACTAGAGTTTCCGCTTCTATAATCTATGGAACCCTTTTTACCCCGATACTGTCTCTTCAGGAGATCCTTGGGTCCCCCCTCCCACGACTCAGAGCTGCCTCGTCCAGACTGGAAGTTGTGAACATGGATCACATCCAATCCTACTCCCTGGATGCAGAAACAATTCCTCTGAAAGTAGGAATCCACCCTGCAGACAGGGGCCTTGACCAGATGTTCCCAATTGACCCTTTGCTAAGCCACGCCCTGAATGGCCTATCGGGGCGTGGCTATCACAGCGCAGTATAGGACTCGCTCTGAGGTCTGACACTTTTATGGCTGCGCTCCATTGACTCTAATGCAAAAAGAGTTGTTTTCTAGCTTTTGTAGGCTGTAGATTGTTCCTAATGTGATGTTAGTTAGCTAACGCTAGCTAACATCCTACTGAATAACGTAATAAAGCCCTGCTGTTCTGCTTTTTAATGATCAGTCTGAGTCAGTCTGAGTCTGTTTGTGTCTGTCTGAGTCAGTCTGAGTCTATCTGAGTCTGTCTGAGTCTGTCTGAGTCAGTCTGAGTCTATCTGAGTCAGTCTGAGTCAGTCTGAGTCTGTCTGAGTCAGTCTGAGTCTGTCTGATCTGTCTGAGTCAGTCTGAGTCTGTTTGAGTCAGTCTGAGTCTGTCTGAGTCAGTCTGAGTCTGTCTGAGTCAGTCTGAGTCTATCTGAGTCTGTCTGAGTCTGTCTGAGTCAGTCTGAGTCTATCTGAGTCTGTCTGAGTCAGTCTGAGTCTGTCTGAGTCAGTCTGAGTCTATCTGAGTCTGTCTGAGTCAGTCTGAGTCTGTCTGAGTCAGTCTGAGTCTGTCTGAGTCTGTCTGAGTCAGTCTGAGTCTATCTGAGTCTGTCTGAGTCAGTCTGAGTCTGTCTGAGTCAGTCTGAGTCTGTCTGATCTGTCTGAGTCAGTCTGAGTCTGTTTGAGTCAGTCTGAGTCAGTCTAAGTCTGTTTGAGTCTGTTTGAGTCAGTCTGAGTCAGTCTGAGTCAGTTTGAGCCAGTCTGACCGCCACCTGATCTGTTCACAGCCCTGTTCCTCTCTTCACCTAAGTGTCTAAGAAACCACAAAGTTGCCGACCTGGTGCCGTGTTGGCCCACCGCCGGCTAGAGACGGCTGCCTGAACTAGTTCTTGAGACCCTTTTGGTGCAGGACTCATATGCTGCGACTAAATATGCACTGGACCTGCTGTTAAACCAAACTCTTGGATCGGGTCTGGACTGTCTCCGTTTGCAGGGTGAGAGGTGCCGGGCTGGTGTGGGGATACTGTTGAAATGTTCCTCTGAGAATGAGGCGGTCGCTGCAGGAGAGGAAGGCTCTCACCGAGTATCTGGCCTTGGAGTTCTGGAGAAGGACTCTTGGACTCGTGCTTTGTTACTGACTGCCCAAACCAGCACCTTGGTCCAGGTGTCTCACGGGACGCACGTGGAAATGAAACTTCCCTGAATGAAAGAAATCAAACGCAGGCTTCCTCACAGTCGCCTCCGTCAAACTAAAATATGACTCAGTGTACAAAGGTCTTGTTTTTCAAAGTTACAAATGTGACACAAGCAGGTTACATCATCAATCACCTGACAGGACGTGACATCATCATCACAGGGTCACATTACATCCACAAAGAAATCGCCGGGGTTTCCCATGGCCAGGGAGAAGGACTGTCGGGAGGGTGGAATGTCGCGACGCTGGCCTCGAGGTGGCGACGGGGCCGGCAGGAAGGCCTCTGAGTCTTTGTCACCACGGAGACCAGAGGTCGGGGGCTGCTGGGTGCCGTCCTCGCCGGGTGACTGTGCCGCCAGCTTAGTGTCAGGCGAAGCTCCCACTTCCTGTTTGGTCGGTTCGGATCCGCTCCCTCCTCCTCCCTCCTTCTGACCGTCGCAGCAGTCCGAGCCGCTGCTGTGACTTCCTGTACACATTAAAACATGATATCGCAGCGTAACCGCAGTACAACGCCGTGTATTCAAAGTATATCGCCATCCTCATTTTCCATGTTTTAATCTTCCTATTTTTATTTCAGTCTGTTCTGTACACACAGCATCTATTTCCTGTCTGCCCCCCTGAGGTTTCTGGATCTGCACCGAGTCTCTGAGGACAGAAGCTGCTGGACAGACTGTAAAGACTCAAACTGACTTCTTGTTTAAAGGTCCAGTGTGTAATATGACATTTATTCATTTAGCTGACGCTTTTATCCAAAGCGACTTACAGCTGCTGTACATGTCAGAGGTCGCACGCCTCTGGAGCTACTAGGGGTTAAGGGTCTTGCTCAGGGACTCACAGTGGACATGGCATGTGTATTATCCACTGCGCCATCACCACCCAATGCAAAATAAGATCCCTAACTGTGTTTTCAGTGGTGTGTAAAGAGCTTCCATAAGAGCCGGTATGTTTTTATCACCTTAGAATGAGACTTTCTGTCTACAGACACCGCGGTGCCTCTTAAAGGGGCGTCGCCATGTTGCGCCGCCATGTTTCAACAGTAGCCCAAATGGATAAACTGCTCTGCAGAGCGCGTTTCTTCACTACAAAGTTCAACTTTAATGTCTTTAACATTCAGGTTTCTGATTGGCTGAGAAATGCGGTGTTAGCGTCAGGATAAAACATGCTGTCACCTTCACTGTGCCGACTTCCTCCTCCTCTTCCTCCCCCCCAGGCCGGCAGCTGGTGGAGGGGGTGAGGCGAGCTGTAGGGGTGAGGGACGGGGTACTGGTACGGGAAGGCTGGGGGCCACTGGGGGCCGGAAGCCGGAGCCAGCGGGTCACAGTCTCGAATGGAGGCTTCTTCGTGATCCAGCAGAGACATCAGACCCAGATCTGACAGACAGGGGGAACCACATCAGTGTTATGGTCTGACAGGATCAATCCTGAAGTCAGATCCTGGTGTTCCTCACCAGAACCTGCTCCAGTTCCTGCAGCAACACTTTCTAGCATCTTGTGTGTTTGCGTGCACATGTGATTAATAAAGGGTCATTTCTGTATTTGTAAACCTGGGCCCTGTTTCGAAATATGTCGGGGTTGAAATCATGGGAGGCGAGCCGTTGCAGGAAGACGCCGGTGGAAACGAGAGTCCGAGCTGCAGAGAGGAGTCTGTTGTGCCGGAGTAACGTTAGGAAATCAAGTCTCGCTAGCGGCTCCTCCACCAACACAACAAACTCCTCCCACCAGATCTCAGAGCGAGACTTCAGTTTCCTGTTTCCTTCCCACGATGCTGTCTCACACCTGGTTGTCTCTGGCCACAAGAAGCTCTTCCTGTGGACGCCATTTTGACCAAACCAATGCGTCTACTTCACAGCTTTCAAACGTTTATACCTACGAGTCATTTCAGCTCCACAATCTGTGAAAAAAGAGCCCAGGTTTAAAAATACTCTCTGACGTTTTGAAGGGTTCTCTGGTTATCAGACACTGGGACGTTTAAGACCCGCTGTACGTCAGGGCCTCTGGTTCTGTCCTCACCTCCACACAGGTCTCCGAACACGTAGTAGCACTGTTCAGAGAAGGTCACCTTGTTGACGGTGTGTCGGATGTAACCGGCCTTCAGCAGGTTTCCCGCGTACCTGCGAGCTTCACGGCGGTCGGTGAAACCTTCCACGTTCCGGTGGAGCCAGTCTACGACGTCAGAACCTGGACGGACGGACGGACGGGAGGTAAAGTTACAGGCTGATCTTTGCTACTGCTGAGGCTCCTGGGTACTGTAGTCTTTACATCTTATCAACCACACTGACGGAAAAGCGTGACTTGTCAGGAAGTAAACAGGACCCTGCAGCATCGGCCAGGAGACCCTGTAGATCTGTGTCCAGGTACACTTAAAAATAAAAATAAAAGTAGTGCTTAACGTTGTGAAATGTCCCAGTTTGGTTAGATCAGAATCAGAAGGAGCTTTACAGCCAAGTATGTTTTACACGTACGAGGAATTTGCTTTGGTGATGAGATGCAACACGCAGACAAACATACAGCCGACATAAATACATTTAGAAATATATAAATATGGAATAAACAGATGCAAGTTATAAAAGAATAGAGACTTTTGGCAGATATTTACATGAGCATTACTCCGGTTTGTGTTGTGCTGACGTGTTGCAACAGGAGAGGATGTCGTGAACATAAATATATAAATTGACAAAATATAAAAATATAGAACAACAAAGATTAACAATTAACAACAAATATGTGCCAGGTCTGTCATGAGATGTAACTTCGTTACTAAGGTGATATTTAAAGTAGACATTTTGTTTCAAACTGGAAACAAACACCAGTCCCCTTTTTGAAATCCAGTTTCTGGCCCACCGTCCAGCCCGACCCCCCCCGCACTCTGACCTTACTGTTAAATATCCTGCACCTGCCTCAAGCGTTCATAAACGACGCCAACGACTGACTTGTTTTCGTCACCGTGCAGCAGGAGGGGCGGGCGCTCAGCGTCGCCAACAGCTCGGGGAGAAAACACAGGTGAGCCGTGTTCAGGTGTGACGCTAGCTTGTGTTTGGTTCTGACTGGAACGTGTGCGGAGCGTTTTACCGATGAAGGCGTTGGGGATGGTGATCTTCAGCCACATCCGGTCCCGGACCTCCAGGCCTGACTCACGATTGGCCATCGCCTTGACTACAGCTGTGATGTCGCTGTGGATGGTGAGGTGGGGGTCTTCGTGCACACCTGAGAGACAGCAGCAGATTACAGTTGGAGTCGTGGACGGACAGGTGATGGATGCACGCTGCAGTGGCTGATGGGAGTCTTACCGTAGTGTGGGAGGAGCCTCCCTGTCATGGCGGCGGTGTGCGACACCCAGGCAGCGGGGTCGATTGGACGGACCGGCTCGCCTTCGGGGACAGAAAGACATGATGTTGCATCAGGAAACACTGCAGACAGGACAAGACCTTTCTCGTCCTCAGGGCTTCAGGGTTAAGGCTAGTGATGTCACAGATTATGCTAATGAGCGTCCTCAGTAGTATAAAGGTGTATGTGTGTGTGTGTTGGCTCACTCCTGGGCAGTGTGAAGCAGCCTCGTGGGTTTGGATCCCAACACTTTGCCACCGTTAACGTCACCGGACTAAAGACAGACAGAAAGGTACACAGAGACAGTAGCAGCAGCAGTATTAGTGGTATTAGTACTATTAGTAGTACATGTAGCAGTATTTGCAGAAGTACTTCAGAGCGGAGCTTTATGTGACTGTAGAACATGGACAGAGCTGATATCGGACATGCACAGCTTTATGCAAATTAGGTTGGACTCGTAGCTACAGAATGCTTAGTCAACAACGAAGCGGCGGCGGCGGCGAGCTCAGTGTCTGCTGGCGTGGATGAAGTCTGAGGAGGTCTTCCTCTGCTCTTTCTCCCTCACAGATGCTAAACTAAAGCAAAGTGCTGAAACCGGGAGAGAGTGCAGGATGTTCACTACTAAGCGAGCGTGAGGGCGCTGACACGCCCACCGTGACGACCAGGAAGTGGTGATGCTGCAGGACGTGTTTCCCTCCAGAGGTTTTTCTCTGAAAGGTGGCGTTCAGACCGACAGCAGCTCTGCGTTTCTAAGTTTTCGGGAGATGTGAATCCTGAGTCAGACGGCTGTGAACCTCTGATGAACCTCTAACACGTGCACCTGGTCTCCTGGATCACATTTCCTGTTTTCACCTGAGCAGTCCTGTGTGCTGCTTCGCTGTTTGGTCTGCGGCGCCGTGAGCGGCCAGCGGGGGGGACAAAGATTACAAACCGCCAAAAATATTATGGTCAGGGTCATTTCACTTCCTCACAGGCTGCACTCAGACACCACTGGAAGTAGTAGCAGTGGTAACAGTGTAGTAGTATTAGTATTAGTTGTAGTATTAATAGTAGTATTAGTAGTAATAGTAGTATTAGTAGTATCAGATGTCTCACCCCGGCTTGTGAACGATCTCTCTCAGGACTCGGACGGCGTCGTCATTGGTCATGTTCTCAAAGTTGATGTCGTTCACCTGAAGAACACACGGGAGGAAGTACTACTGTTAGTATTATTACCTCTACCAAATACTACTGTTAGCAATGACAGCAGCATCAGTTGTACCTGCAGTAATACCTGCAGTAGTACCTGCAGTAGTACCTGCAGTAGTATTAGTAGTACCTGCAGAAGTATTAGTAGTACCTGCAGTAGTATCAGTAGTACCTGCAGTAGTATTAGTAGTACCTGCAGAAGTATCAGTAGTACCTGCAGTAGTATTAGTAGTACCTGCAGAAGTATCAGTAGTACCAGCAGTAGTACCTGCAGTAGTATCAGTAGTACCTGCAGTAGTATCAGTAGTACCTGCAGAAGTATCAGTAGTATCAGCAGTAGTACCTGCAGTAGTATCAGTAGTACCAGCAGTAGTATCAGTAGTACCTGCAGAAGTATCAGTAGTACCTGCAGAAGTATCAGTAGTACCAGCAGTAGTACCTGCAGTAGTATCAGTAGTACCTGCAGTAGTATCAGTAGTACCTGCAGTAACATGTCTCCAGGCTCGATGCGTCCGTCTGCTGCCACCGCTCCTCCCTTCATGATGGAGCCGATATAAATCCCTCCATCACCTCGGTCGTTACTCTGACCAACAATACTGATCCCCAGGAAGTTATACCTCTCTGACAGGTAGACAGGTGGAGAGAGAGACAGGTGGAGAGACAGACAGGTGGAGAGAGTGAGAGACAGACAGGTGGAGAGAGAGAGAGAGACAGGTGGAGAGAGAGACAGGTGGAGAGAGACAGACAGGTGGAGAGAGAGAGAGACAGACAGGTGGAGAGAGAGACAGACAGGTGGAGAGAGACAGGTGGAGAGAGAGAGAGAGACAGGTGGAGAGAGAGAGACAGACAGACAGGTGGAGAGACAGACAGGTGGAAAGAGAGAGACAGACAGGTGGAGAGAGAGAGACAGGTGGAGTGACAGACAGGTGGAGAGAGAGACAGACAAGTGGAGAGACAGACAGGTGGAGAGAGAGACAGGTGGAGGGAGTGACAGACAGGTGGAGAGAGAGACAGGTGGAGAGAGAGACAGGTGGAGAGAGTGACAGACAGGTGGAGAGAGAGAGAGGTGGAGAGAGAGACAGGTGGAGAGAGTGACAGACAGGTGGAGAGAGAGAGAGACAGGTGGAGAGAGAGACAGGTGGAGGGAGTGACAGACAGGTGGAGAGAGAGACAGGTGGAGAGAGTGACAGACAGGTGGAGAGAGTGACAGACAGGTGGAGAGAGTGACAGACAGGTGGAGAGAGAGAGAGACAGGTGGAGAGAGAGAGAGACAGGTGGAGAGAGAGAGAGACAGGTGGAGAGAGAGAGAGACAGGTGGAGAGAGTGACAGACAGGTGGAGAGAGAGAGAGACAGGTGGAGAGAGAGAGAGACAGGTGGAGAGAGAGAGGTGGAGAGAGAGACAGGTGGAGAGAGTGACAGACAGGTGGAGAGAGAGAGAGACAGGTGGAGAGAGAGAGAGACAGGTGGAGTGACAGACAGGTGGAGAGAGAGACAGACAGGTGGAGAGAGAGACAGGTGGAGAGACAGACAGGTGGAGAGAGAGAGAGACAGACAGGTGGAGAGAGAGAGAGAGACAGGTGGAGAGAGAGACAGGTGGAGAGAGACAGACAGGTGGAGAGAGAGAGACAGACAGGTGGAGAGAGAGACAGACAGGTGGAGAGAGACAGGTGGAGAGAGAGAGAGACAGGTGGAGAGAGAGAGAGACAGACAGGTGGAGAGACAGACAGGTGGAGAGAGAGAGAGACAGGTGGAGAGAGAGAGAGACAGGTGGAGTGACAGACAGGTGGAGAGAGAGACAGACAGGTGGAGAGAGAGACAGGTGGAGTGACAGACAGGTGGAGAGAGAGACAGACAGGTGGAGAGAGAGAGAGAGAGGTGGAGTGACAGACAGGTGGAGAGAGAGACAGACAGGTGGAGAGAGAGAGAGACAGGTGGAGAAAGAGAGAGAGACAGGTGGAGAGAGAGAGAGACAGGTGGAGTGACAGACAGGTGGAGAGAGAGACAGACAGGTGGAGAGACAGACAGGTGGAGAGAGAGACAGACAGGTGGAGAGAGAGAGACAGGTTGAGTGACAGACAGGTGGAGAGAGAGACAGACAGGTGGAGAGAGAGACAGACAGGTGGAGAGACAGACAGGTAGAGAGAGAGACAGACAGGTGGAGAGAGAGACAGACAGGTGACTCTTTAATCTCCTTTCTGTATCTGCTGGCTGCTTCCTGTCTGACTCAGATGGACCTTCAGCTGACTGACTGACTGGCATGACAACGTCACCCAAAGCATGATGGGAAATGCAGTTCTAAAACTCATTACGCCACATGTGTCCAGCTAAGACCTGCAGAGACTCACAGGACAGGACACATTGTCTGTTCTACGCAGCGGCTGATTGGCTGAACAGGAAACAGCTGAGAGAGAAACATGATGGCAGCGATGAGGCGTTCACTGTCCGTCCGCTCTGTACTCACCCATGTTCAGAGTCACAGTGACGACGTTGAGCGACATGGTGGAGTCAGTGACACTGCTGAAAGACACAGACTGACGCACAGACAGACACACAGATACAGCAGGACAGAGACAGATCAAAGGTAAGACGGGAAGGACAGAAGACAAGAGAAGCTGCTGGTTCATTTCCCTCAGCTCGCTACTGTCGCTTTAAACGCCTGAGAGACCGTGCAGAGGGCTTACTGAGACACCGATGGACCACTGAGCCTACAGTCTGTGGCAGCGATGCAGAGACTCGGGCTTTAAGATGACCCGTCGCTGCATCACTGCCTGTTTATCTGAATCTTTAAAACTGGAATCTTCAGCTCTGAATCATCATTTCTGCCCAAACAGATTCATTAATTAATTAATTTACTAACAGGCACAAACAGAACTCTGTCATTAACGTACGTGTGTGTGTGTGTGTGTGTGTGTGTGTGTGTGTGTGTGTACCCTCTCCATCCGCTGTGTTTTGGGTTTTCGGTGGCGGCGGCGTTGGCGCCTGACGAGTCGTGGCGAGGAGCTGCTCTGCCCGGTTGATTGGCTGAACCTGGTGTGACATCACAGTGGGGGAAAAACGCACCTGGTTTCAGTTTGACAGGTGAAGGTGTGACTCCGTGGTTACTAAGCAACAAGGTGTGAATAAATCTGAATATGATATAATAAAAAAATTATAATTAAAACCAAAAGGAAGAAATATAAGAGTGAAAATCAACAATAAAATAAAAATATTTGTAGGAATGCCTGAAATATTACCTAGAAAATATTCCTCTAAAAATTCAGTTTAAATTCCTTTGTAATTTAAATATAAAAATAAATGTAGCAGCAAAAATTTACAGAAAAAGTAGTTAAAAGATAAAAGAATATAAAAAAGAAACAGAAAACATCTGAATCACATTAATGTTGTCATATATGAAAAATATCTAACTAAAACTTACAAATATTTGTGAAGGTTTATCAGATAAATCAAAAACACAAAAAAATAAATCTGTAAAAAATGTAAAATCCAGACGGATCCAAAAACTGTAAAAAAAAAAATGTTAAAAAGTAAAAAGCTTCCTGATTCCTGACAGAGTCTGATTTACAGATTATTCTGAGGTTGGCTGACGCAGGAACAGATTATTTCTGCTCTCAGATCAGCCAGGATTCTTTTATCTGCTGGACAATACACGCTGCGCCGCCGGTCACATGACCCGCAGCAGCCAATCGCAGCAGGAGGAGGAGACCTAAGTCTAAACAGGGTTACTGGAGCAGAAGAAGACCTGAGGGCAGGTCAGTGTTATCGTCAAACTGACCAATCAAAGTGACAGCTGCTGATGATGTCAGAGAGTTTCTATGTTTAAAGGAGCAGCTCAACATTTTTACCAGTTTCATCTCTGTGTGTCCGGTACAGACATTTAGCTTAGCTTAGCACAAATACTGTTAGCCTAGCTCCATCAAAGCACAGATTCTACAGTGTGTTTGCACCGAAACTCCTCCTGCTGGTCACTGCTGAGTTACATGTAAACATTTAGTTTGTAATAAAAATATGGAACATGAGCTGATGCCACGGCAGCCGAATTCACCAGAACACCAAATCATTTTCTAAAATGTGTCAAATTTTATTTTCTGAGGTTTTATTTTGTCAAAACTCAAGAAAGAAAACAAAACTGCCAGATTTGTTAAAGGAGTTTGGGTTTGCAGTGAAAACAGAATGAGCAGCAGATACTTTATATACGTTAGCCTAGCTTAGCACAAAGGGGGACACGGTTAGCCTACAGAGGTGGAAATGAACTAAGTTCTTTTTAAGGTACTTTTACTTTACCTGAGTATTTCCATTTGATGCCTCTTTATACTTCTTCACTAAAATGTATTACAAATTAGTTATACAATGTGTGCTTTGATTGAGAAATGCGGCTCAGACATCAATGCAACCGTGATAATAAACAAATGATATAAAATTCTTTTAGAGTACTTTTACTTTTGATACTTTGAGTACATTTTATTGATAATACTTTTACATAAGAACTGTCACCTGCATCAAAGTGTTTTGTCACACTTATACTGCAATAACAGATATGAACCCTGGGTTTTAACTCTCAGGCTACATACAGGCTGGTGTTGCTGTTTACAGCCTGAGATAAAGCCTGCAGACACTACTCAGGGCACAAAAACCTACTTCAGTTCCTCGGTCACGTTTTTCATTTAAACATGAACTAATCTATATTTTATTCACAGTTAATTGCAGTTAAGATGCAAATTAAAGTCTTCTCCTTGTGGAAAATATTATAATGTCTCATGTTGAAGCCAGAGGAATTGAAAACCCCCCTCATGTTGTGTTCAAGGACCCTTTAACAATTCAGTTCCAGAAAAAATGACCATGTTTTTGTGAGCATCGTTCATGAGTTCTTAAAATGTCAGAGTGCACTTGAACACACCGCAGAGCAACATCCAGACGCTCTAAAGGTGGAATCAGGTTTTGGGGCTCATATCGCTGTTTGTCAACGAGCGTCCTCACAAGTACAGACAAACAAACGTATGTGTGTGTGTTTCTGACCTTCCTCCTGAGTCTTCCTCAGACGAGCAGAAACTGGTCGTCTCCAGCTGGCTGCTCTGTTGAGTTGACGAGCTGTCACCTCCACCTGTTGGCCCCGCCCCGTTCTGCTGAGCCGGCTTGTGGGCGTGGCCGTTCAGACGGCCATCTGCAGAGAGGGCAGCCAATCAGAGACACAGACAGCAAGATGACTGACGGGACTGAAAAGCCAGCCAGAAGAATCAGATCAAACATGTTCCAGGCCACCTCGCCACACGGTAACACAGCATGATGTTCATTTGGTAAATTATGGTCCTATTTAGGGGAACACAGACCAGGAAGCAGGGGAGGCTTTAGGGCGGGGCTACAAGGTGACTGACAAGTCGCTACCACGGCGACCTGTCAATCAGGATAGAGGTGACTCGTATCCGCTGCTCTGTGTACATTTAACCAGCGCCGCTGAAAAAGCTCATCAGGAGTCGGCTGCTCATTTTTCAGTAAGTGCGTTTAGTTTTAAGCCTGTTTGTCGGTAGCAAAAATTATCATCCCAGCTAATATCACAGTTAACGTGAATTACAGATGCACCTTGCTAACCAAGCTAGCTAGCTCCGCCCTCTCGTCCTAACATGGTCACGTCTGGTTCCAAAAAACAAGATGTCGATGGCCAGACAGCCAAACTGCGGTCCACAAACCAGAGGGTGATGTCACGACAGCTACGCCCACTTCTGTTATACTGCCTGTGGTCGGTCCATTCTGTCCACCATGTGCCGTCCTGCAGAGCTCTGACAGAGGCTCGCTGTGATGTCAGCTGGGTAAGGACAATAAAGGAGGTCTCACCTCTGGCGCTCTCTCTCTCTCCTCTCTGTGGGGGTGACGCCTCAGGTTTGACCTCTGACCCCTGAACTTCATCCTGACCACTCAGAGCTGCAGCACTAACGGACAGACAGACGGAGAGAGACAGGTGTACTAATGAATTCACCTTCAGGTGTGTTCACAGGAAGTTACTGCCATGTTGCAGAAACTATAATCTAACAGGAGGCAGGTAGGACAGCTACTTACTGGAAGGACGGCGGTCTGGAGTCTCCGATCCCACCTGTCCTCTCCACGGGGGGCGGGGCCAGGCTGGTGGGCGTGGCTACAGACTGAACGTCTGATCCCCTGAAATCTGACTGACAGGTTTCTGACGACACCAGCTGGAGAGACACGGAAACACGAGACGCTGAGACTCACCTGGAGGATCAGGTGTGTGTGTGTGTTACTGTGTGTGTGTGTGTGTGTACTGTGTGTGTTACTCTGTGTGCGTGTGCGTGTGTGTGTGTGTGTGTGTGTGTGTGTGTATATGTGTGTGCGTTACTGTGTGTGTTTCCTACCCAGCAGACGACTCGTCCGTTCACGACGGGCAGCCGGGCATCATCATCGCTGATCTCCTCCTTCACCACCCTGTTGACACACACACATCTGCATCTGTCTCTCGTACGTGGTGATGGAGCAGCGGATAAGGCACATGCCTTCGGTGTGAAAGACTCAAGTTCAATTCCCCCCATTTGCTCCAGAGGCGTGTGACCTCTGACAGATGCAGCAACTGTTTTATTTTTTGGATAAAAGCGTCGGCTGAATATAATGTCACATGATGTAAAAACTGACTGGTACCAGAAGAGGGACCAGGTCTCCCTGATCCTGGACTCTCTTCACTGGTTGCATGGAGTGGCTCCGTTATATATTTCAGACCTTTAACGCTGTCTCACTCTTCCAGGTCTCAGATCATCAGACCACTTCCTTCACCCAACTATGGAATAAACGTCCTCCTTTCAGACTTTCAAGTCTCGTCTGAAAACATTTTTTTTCTCCGGCATCGGGACACTAAGGTTATAATAAAATAAAAATACCACCATCATCATCACCACCATCCTCATCATCATCACCCACCATCATCATCAGCACCATCCTCATCATCAGCACCATCCTCATCATCATCACCACCATCCTCATCATCATCAGCACCATCCTCATCATCATCACCCACCATCATCACCACCACCATCCTCATCATCAGCACATCCTCATCCTCACCCACCATTATCATCACCATCATCCTCATCCACCATCATCATCAGCACCATCCTCATCATCATCACCCACCCTCATATTCATCACCACCATCCCTCATCATCACCACCATCCTCATCCTCACCACCACCATCCTCGTCACCATCCTCGTCACCATCCTCATCATCACGACCATCGTCATCATCACCACCCTCATCATCACCATCCTCATCACCACCACCACCCTCATTATCACCACCATCCTCATCATCACCCTCATCATCACCATCCTCATCCTCGTCACCGCCATCCTCATCACCATCACCATCCTCATCATCACCCTCATCATCACCACCACCCTCATCCTCATCAGCACCATCCTCATCATCATCACCCACCATCCTCATCATCACCATCCTCATCATCACCACCGCCATCATCATCACCCTCATCATCATCACCACCACCACCATCATCATCACCCTCATCATCACCACCATCCTCATCACCACCACCCTCATCACCACCATCCTCATCACCACCATCCTCATCACCACCACCATCCTCGTCACCACCATCGTCATCATCACCACCACCATCCTTGTCACCATCCTCATCATCACCCACCATCATCATCATCACCCACCATCATCATCATCATCACCATCCTCATCCTCATCAGCACCATCCTCATCATCATCACCCACCATCATCATCAGCACCATCCTCATCATCACCCACCATCATCATCATCACTATCCTCATCATCATCACCACCATCCTCATCATCACCACCATCCTCATCATCACCCACCATCATCATCATCACCATCCTCATCCTCATCAGCACCATCCTCATCATCATCACCCACCATCAACATCACCACCATCCTCATCATCACCCACCATCATCAGCAGCACCATCCTCATCATCACCATCCACCCTCATCATCATCACCCACCCTCATCACCACCACCACCCTCATTATCACCACCATCCTCATCATCACCCTCATCATCACCATCCTCATCACCATCACCATCCTCATCATCATCCTCATCATCACCACCACCCTCATCCTCATCAGCACCATCCTCATCATCACCACCATCCCTCATCATCACCACCATCCTCATCATCACCTACCATCATCATCATCATCCTCACCATCATCACCCACCCTCATCATCATCACCACCATCCTCATCATCATCAGCACCATCATCATCAGCACCATCATCACCACCATCCTCATCATCATCAGCACCATCTTCATCACCATCCTCATCATCACCCACCCTCATCCTCACCACCGTCATCATCATCATCACCACCATCCTCATCATCATCACCACCATCCTCATCATCATCCTCATCATCATCACCCACCATCATTATCATCACCCACCATCATCATCATCACCATCCTCATCATCATCAGCACCATCCTCATCATCATCACCCACCATCATCATCATCACCACCATCATTATCATCACCCACCATCATCATCATCACCATCATCATCATCAGCACCATCCTCATCATCATCACCCACCATCATCATCATCACCACCATCCCTCATCATCATCATCCTCATCATCATGAGCACCATCCTCATCATCTTCACCCACCCTTATCATCACCATCATCATCAGCACCATCCTCATCATCATCACCCACCATCATTATCATCACCCACCATCATCATCATCACCATCCTCATCATCATCAGCACCATCCTCATCATCATCACCCACCATCATCATCATCACCACCATCCTCATCATCATCACCCACCCTCATCATCATCACTATCCTCATCATCATCAGCACCATCCTCATCATCACCATCCACCCTCATCATCATCACCCACCCTCATCATCATCACCACCATCCCTGATCATCACCACCATCCTCATCCTCACCACCACCATCCTCCTCACCATCCTCATCATCACCACCATCCCTCATCATCACCACCATCCTCATCCTCACCACCACCATCCTCATCAGCACCATCCTCATCATCATCACCCACCCTCATCATCATCATCCTCATCATCATCACCCACCCTCATTATCATCACCACCATCCCTGATCATCACCACCATCCTCATCCTCACCACCACCATCCTCCTCACCATCCTCATCATCACCACCATCCCTCATCATCACCACCATCCTCATCCTCACCACCACCATCCTCATCACCACCACCATCCTCATCATCACCCACCCTCATCATCATCACCCACCATCATCATCATCATCAGCACCATCCTCATCATCACCCACCATCATCACCACCACCATCCTCATCACCACCACCACCATCCTCGTCACCACCATCCTCATCACCACCACCACCATCCTTATCACCATCCTCATCATCACCCACCATCATCATCATCATCACCCACCATCATCATCATCACCTACCATCATCATCACCATCCTCATCATCATCATCACCATCCTCATCATCACCACCGCCATCATCATCACCCTCATCATCATCATCACCACCACCACCATCATCATCACCCTCATCATCATCATCACCACCACCACCATCATCATCACCCTCATCATCACCACCATCCTCATCACCACCACCCTCATCACCACCATCCTCATCACCACCATCCTCATCACCACCACCATCCTCGTCACCACCATCGTCATCATCACCACCACCATCCTTTTCACCACCCTCATTACCACCATCCTCATCCTCACCACCACCATCCTCGTCACCATCCTCGTCATCACCACCATCCCTCATCATCACCACCATCCTCATCATCATCACCCACCATCATCATCACCACTATCCTCATCATCATCAGCACCATCATCATCACTATCCTCATCATCACCACCACCATCCTCATCCTCACCACCACCATCTTCGTCACCATCCTCATCACCATCCTCATCCTCATCACCCACCATCATCATCAGCACCATCCTCATCATCATCATCACCACCATTCTCATCATCAGCACATCCTCATCCTCACCCACCATTGTCATCACCATCATCCTCATCACCACCACCATCCTCATCCTCACCCACCATCATCATCAGCACCATCCTCATCAGCAGCAGCACCATCCTCATCATCATCACCCACCCTCATCATCATCATCCACCATCATCATCATCACTATCCTCATCATCATCAGCACCATCCTCATCATCACCGTCCACCCTCATCATCATCACCCACCATCATCATCAGCATCACCATCCTCATCATCACCCACCCTCATCACCACCATCCTCATCCTCACCACCACCATCTTTGTCACCATCCTCATCATCACCACCATCCCTCATCATCACCCACCATCATCATCATCACTATCCTCATCATCATCAGCACCACCCTCATCATCACCATCCACCCTCATCATCATCACCCACCCTCATCATCATCACCCACCATCCTCATCATCACCACCATCCCTGATCATCACCACCATCCTCATCCTCACCACCACCATCCTCCTCACCATCACCACCATCCCTCATCATCACCACCATCCTCATCCTCACCACCACCATCCTCATCAGCACCATCATCATCATCATCACCCACCCTCATCATCATCATCCTCATCACCACCACCGTCCTCATCATCACCCACCCTCATCCTCACCACCATCCTCCTCATCATCACCACCATCCTCATCATCATCACCACCATCCTCATCATCATCCTCATCATCATCACCCACCATCATCATCAGCACCATCCTCATCATCATCACCACCATCCTCATCATCATCAGCACCATCATCACCACCATCCTCATCATCATCAGCACCATCTTCATCACCATCCTCATCATCATCACCCACCATCATCACCACCACCATCCTCATCATCAGCACATCCTCATCCTCACCCACCATCATCAGCACATCCTCATCCTCACCCACCATCATTATCATCACCCACCATCATCATCATCAGCACCATCCTCATCATCATCACCCACCATCATCATCACCCACCATCATCATCATCAGCACCATCCTCATCATCATCACCCACCATCATCATCATCACCACCATCATCATCATCATCAGCACCATCCTCATCATCATCACCCACCCTCATCATCATCATCATCACCATTCACCCTCATCATCTTCACCCACCATCCTCATCATCATCACCCACCATCATCATCAGCAGCAGCACCATCCTCATCATCATCACAGTCTTCAAGGAAACAGATTTATGCTGAACAAACATACGGGACCTTTAAAGAGTTGAGCCTGCTGTTCTGTTTCATTTCTACAACCAGAGACAGAGTTTAATCTTTCTATAATCCAACGCACACACAGAGTTATATAACAGACTGTCTGCTGAAACCAGAAGCTCTTTAATATTCACTCTGACGAAATCTGCCTGCAGTGTGTGTGTGTGTTTTTGTTTTACTGGATTTGTAGGGTCAAAAAACGGGATTCCACTAAACTTGTGGGGCCCCACAGCTTCATGGGGCCCAAACAGCTGGACCCACCAGTTTAAAAGGCTGTTTGAGACCGGGTTTCAGGGTTCAGGTTCAGGCCTTACACAGGGACAGTAAGGCCAACATGTGTGTGCGCTTCCACACTTTAAATGAACCGACGTGTAAACAGGAAACGCATCACTAACAATCATGTCAGGCTTCATGTTGTTACCAGCTGACTGACGATGATGATGATGTAACGCTGATCACTCTTATCAACACCATCGATCGCGTGACTCACCCGAAGTCGTCGTCCACCGCCTTGAAGAAGAACTTGAGGTTCGGTTTGTTCAGGACCTGTTTGAAGTCCGCCAGTGTGACGCGCTGCGCGGGCACGTTGATCCGGATCAGGTAGGGGGTCTCCTGGTCCTCCAGGTGGTAAATGACCCGCGTATCCTCCGCCATGCTGTCCCCCATGAAGCCCGGAGCGGTCCGGCGCGGTCCGGCACGGTCCGGAGAGGGAGACTCTGTCTCTGTCGCTCCCGCAGGTCTCCGGTCTGTTCTGGTCCAGATGAGCTGGTCCAGCTGCTGCAGGTCGCCGATGCTCACAGTCTCCTCCGGAAGCCACGTCAAGACCGAAACAGTCAGATACACCACTTCCGCCTGAAGCCCTTCAAGATAAACCTGAGGGGGGGTCTTTATAGTCCGAATCCTTCAGCGTGAAACAGTTTTAATGTTTTGATCATTTATTGGTTTTAATTTGCTGGTTTGTGTGAAGAACACGAGCTCCATCAATACAGATGTCTTTGTCATTATAATATTGTTGTTAATTAAAGTGTCTGTTATTATCACAGAATTCAAAGCAGGACCGTCCTGATCCAACCTGAAGCATTTATATTTTATCACAGCAATATTTTACCCGTAACTTGAATCCAATTGTCAGCAGAGCTACTTCAATACTAAAGCACGTCTCTGGTCATCTGTAGTTTTATTGTTATTAATATTAATAATTAAAATACATTTTATTTATGACACTTCACATGTGAGGCGAATCTCAGTCTCATTAAGCGATACAAGGTAAAAGCATCAATATAAAAAAGAAAAAAAATATGCGTAAAAGTAAAGTTGGTCACAAAGCAGCAGACTAATTAAAGGTTATAGGTTCTGCTAAAAACAAATATTTTAAATCCCGTTGTGATCCCGTAGTACTCCTGTAGTACTCCTTGTATTTTGTGTGCAGAGGAGGATCCGGACCCTCTAAACACTGGAAACAGCTTTTTATTTGACTCTTCCTGTCTGCAATACCCTGCTTTTAATTTGAAGGCATCACATCTTCCTATATGTTTCGAAAACTGCCGACTTGTGACGAAGACTTCCGACTTTACACTTCCGGTTTTTAGTGCTAGCTTTCAAGAGTAAAAGCATTTGATGTGAATCTAAAAAAAAAAAACTGCCTGGAACTCCTCAAGGATCCTCAAGGGCCCACCAAAAGGTCCTGGAAACACTGAGGCAGTAAATAAAAAACACAATCTGTAGTTTCAAGTGTTTATTTGTAGTCCAACATTCATTACAGAGGCGTTCACTGACAGCTGGGAAAAGTGGGACGTTTCTCAATCTTTCATTTGTTGAACATGTAAATAAAAATATTATAATTTCTTTACACTCACAGCCAACCTTACAGTGATCCAGTACTGGATCCCTAGTCCCACAGTAATCCAGTACTGGATCCCTAGTCCCACAGTAATCCAGTACGGGATCCCTAGTGTCACAGTAATCCAGTACGGGATCCCTAGTCTCACAGTAATCCAGTACGGGATCCCTAGTCTCACAGTGATCCAGTACGGGATCCCTAGTCTCACAGTAATCCAGTACGGGATCCCTAGTCTCACAGTAATCCAGTACTGGATCCCTAGTGTCACAGTAATCCAGTACGGGATCCCTAGTCTCACAGTGATCCAGTACGGGATCCCTAGTCTCACAGTAATCCAGTACGGGATCCCTAGTGTCACAGTAATCCAGTACTGGATCCCTAGTGTCACAGTAATCCAGTACTGGATCCCTAGTGTCACAGTAATCCAGTACGGGATCCCTAGTCTCACAGTGATCCAGTACGGGATCCCTAGTCTCACAGTAATCCAGTACTGGATCCCTAGTCTCACAGTGATCCAGTACTGACCCTGGTCTACCAGCCGAGCAGCAGCAGAGCTTTTGTTGTCTCAGACCAGTTCGGTTCCTGCTGGCCTCTGGTCCTGCAGGTGCTACGTGTCCTCTTCCCATGTGTTTCTCAGTACTGCGTCTGGACTTATTGCTGCTGACTGAAGGTAAAAACAGGCAGAACCGACATTAAAGGGACAAAGAAGAACTAAAAACTCTCAGTTCCCAGCTGCAGTGAACACAGCATTAAGGCCACTCGGGTGAAGTCTGCTGGTGTGTGCGTTTCCTGCTGAGTCATGTGACACAGTGAAAGTGGAACAGAGCGTCGGCGTGCCCCGGGTCCTGGTCTGCAGGTCAGAATCAGGAGGTAGTGAAAGACTCGCTACGTGTTAACGGGTCCAACTCGGACTCTGAGGCGTGGACGGGTTGGCGGCTCCAGAGGCTCGTTTCTGTCCAACGCGGCACGTTTCGGACAATCTGTATCTTACAATCTGTAGTTTGATCATTTTGACCGCTTCCTCGACAGAAACGAGCCTCCGGGCTGCTTCCTGGATCAGGGAGCCGATCGATCAGCTGACGGGTGGAATCAGCTGATAATGAGCCGATCAGTCCAAACACAGAACTCTTGTTCCAAGCGATCTGTTAAATTGCACTTTAAGTCGACCAGAGACTCTGAACCAATCAGAGGAGCCGTCTGAGGGCCGCCAGCCGCGGCTTGAGCAGCTCCTGATGAACCTTATAAAAGAGTCACATGATGCGTCATCATACAGAAGCCGTGACCTTTGACCCCCTTGGCGGAGTTTTCTTCTTCATCAGTGTTCAAACTTTGAGCGTCTGGAGCGTTGCCACGGCAACAGCTGACACGATTAATCTGACCACGTTCAGCTCTTCACCTGTGACCAACGGCCAATCACGGCCGCGTCACGTGATAGAATAAGATGGGCTTCACGCGGAGACGTTGACGTCCCGCAGAGCGATGGCAGAGGCAGTCCCGGCAGCGGCGGGTGCCGTGGCGGCGGGCTGCGGGGAGGGGGATACGATGGCCAGAGCAGGGGCGTTCTGATTGGTCGGGCCGGTGGCGGTCTGGAACAGGATCTGCTGTAACGTCCGTCTGAGGTTCGGATGCAGGCGGCGCTGAGTCTGGTTAAAAATCTCCACGGCAACGCACTTCATCACCCCGGCAACCAGGTCGTCGTACAGCGGCACGGTGTACATCCTGGATGTCTGCAGACAGG